TCTCACCGCAACTTCTTAACGCACACATTTAATATTTAAAAAAAAAACCATAAATTTCTGAATTCCTTAAAATCCTTTTACAACTAATCTCTGGGATCTGTGAATTTTCAAGACTTTGAAATCCCAGAATTCAATAGTCCCCGGAAACAACTTTTTAAGTTCTTATATGTTTTGGTCTTACTACTACTAGTATTTGCCGCCCTTGCCATGTTTTATTTTTCAAGACTCAAGAGACGTCTACGTAGCATGCTTAGCTCTGCTCTTGTGGCTGTGACTGAAACACCAAACTTAGAGAGCAAACAGCAAAGAAAGGCGTCTATATATGGTGATGATAGATTAATCATGACCTAAAACAAAGTTAAAAACTAATGAGTAGTTGTCAAAGTTGTTACATTCCTTCGTTCAATCCAACCTGTCTGGCTACAACATGATTCCGGGCCCATTGTTGATCATTTCAGCTAAACGTTTCTTGACAGAGACCTTTAACTTGTATAATTAATTACACACACATGTAATTGTAAGCTCCCACCTGAGTTTTGCTTTCCCTTTTCAAATTGCCTACCGTACGAACGAGTTGCTGCCTTTCTTTGTAAGCTCTATGGGTCTTTGTAGTCATGATTACTTCAGCTTATCTCTCGGGAGAAATCTGTTAGGTAATTACAGAACTGAGGATTGACGTCTGATTGTGCCCCATGGGTCTCTCATTTGAGTAAATTTCGATTACCTGTCACGTAGGTTAGATTGTACGGTACCAGATGTTTGGACCATGCCATCTAAATAGCACTTGAAAAAGGCTAGCAAAGAATTTTCCTCCAGTGCTTGCTGCAGAAGCTAATATGCAAAGCTCAACAACAAATTTTGTGGCTATTTGCTTAAATGCATCGTGTTTGTTTTAGGGACTTTCCTCCCTTCTCTACGCCTCCATCATATTATTAATTCCCCTTCCATAATTTTATTAAAGAAGCACCCTTGGAAATATCCAGTTCAATGACACTGGTCTTGTAAGAGACACTGGCCAGTTTGAGCCTGTATCAATGCAAAAGGATCTCTGACTATGGGTAGTTTGGGGTCCTTGGGGATAACATCAATTCACCGGCTTTCAGTATCAGTAGTATTATGCAGCTTTCAATATCTTGATTTGTATTTTAGTTCGAGTTTTTTACTTTGTCAAAATTGCCATTAGCAATATATTACCATCAGGATGTCAATAGTGTCGTTCAAAAATTGCAGAAAAGGATCGAGAGCTGGGGGAAGCTCAAAGTGAAATCAAGGCACTGAGAGCAACAGAAGTATTGAAGGATAAAGCCATAGAGGAGGTAACACAATTACAATTGAGAACCTATATCTAAATAGACCTTAGAGAAGTAATTTCAAAAAATAGCGGGGGCAATAATCAGTACTTGAGTTCTTACCTAACACTAAACAGTCATGAATATGCCCTGCGGGTGCCTATACAGATTCTATTAGGGAAAGATTTTAATGACAAAGTAAACAGTCTGGGTCGTAGATTAGTGAGAATTCTGTAACTGCTTTGTACACTAGTCATGAATACATTTAACTTTGCGCTTCTATCATCTTCCCAGCTTGAAAGTGAGGTGAACAGATTGAAGAACAAGCTTACGGCAACTGAAAGCCTTCTTGAGCAAAAGGTGAAATCTTGTCTTTCTGTGTCCCTAGGCAGCTAAAACTTCATTTTGTAGTAATATGTTACTTGGTGGTAATTTCAGAACCTTGACATCAAGAAACTCAATTATGAGAAGAAAGAAGCATTGGCTGCTCAATATGCTGCTGAAGCAACACTTAGAAGAGTCTATGCAGATCAAAAGGATGATGATTTTGTTCCTATGGAGTCCATCATTGCTCCTCTTGAAGCAGATATTAAGATGTATAAAAATGAGGTACACGATAGATGGGAATTTCCCTGAAAAGGAAACGTGACCAAAATATGGGATTTCTTTTACTTTCTGGAGAAGCACAGGCTGGAGCCTACGAACTGTAAGGTGTCTTTTTGTATAATTTACATGCATCTTGGTCTTTCTAGATTGCAGCACTGCAGGAGGATAAGAGGGCTATAGAAAGACTGAACAAGTCAAAAGAAGCAGCTTTGCTTGAGGCGGAGAGGATACTGAAGAGTGCTTTAGAAAGGGCACTCATTGTAGAAGAGGTTCAAAATCAGAACTTTGAGCTCAGGAGACAGATAGAGATCTGCCAGGCACGCACCGACTAAAATTTGATACCATAAATGCTAATGCCTGAATGGAAGTTATAAATTTATGTGATATTCAACTATCTCTATGCAGGAAGAAAACAAAATACTAGACAAAACAAACCGTCAAAAAGTTTCAGAAGTTGAAAAGCTCAGCCAAACCATTAAGGAGCTTGAGGAGGCAATTCTTGCCGCTGGAGAAGCTGCCAACACAATTCGAGACTACCGACGGCAAATTTCTGAATTACAAGTAGATCACCATTTTTTTAATTTTTCCGGATGGGGATGCCTTTCAGCCTGTCAAGCTGAGAACTGTCAATAAAGTTTATAATAACTGGTGATAATTCTGCACAATCATGTAGGAGGAGAAGAGGACACTGGAAAGGGAACTAGCAAGAATCAAGGTTTCAGCAAACCGAGTAGCAAGTGTGGTGGCTAATGAGTGGAAGGACGAGAATGACAAAGTTATGCCTGTCAAGCAATGGCTAGAAGAGAGAAGATTGCTGCAGGTATCCCTGTTATGATTACATAATCTGCTTTTCGTGGTTTAACCCCTTGCAGATGAAGAGAACAACTTCATTTTGCAATTTTTTTATTACATCCTTGTCTTGCAGGCAGAGATGCAACGTCTGAGAGACAAGTTGGCTATATCAGAGAAAACAGCTAAGGCAGAAGCTCAATTGAAGGTCTAAATGATCATGTCCACTAATATTTTACTCACTTAACCTATTAAATCAGAAATATTTGATTGCATTTCATTTATGATCCAGGATAAACTGAAGCTCAGGTTAAAGACATTGGAAGATGGCTTGAAGTATGCATCCAGTATCCCCATCGATCCAAACACATATAGCGGATCCTTAAAATCTGAAAAAACCAATAACTTCTTTGGGATCCTTTCAAGTAATGCTGGATTGAAGAAGAGATCCAAATCACAACCAAGAGCTACCACAGTTAGAAGTCCTGACATGTCATCTGTGGAGAAGATGAAAACTGATTTTGCAGAAAAAGTGAAGTCCAGTGGTATAAAAAAGATATATGCTTCAGAAAATCCACTAATAAAAGGTTTGTGGGCTACTAGAAAGAAAGTCATGGACAGCAGTGAAAAGGAGAACAAGGATGGAAAAGAAAATTCTGCAATGGATGTTGTTATGTGTGACAACACTGAAATCCCAGGATCAGGGAACATAAAAAGCAAATTTGGTGACAATCAGGAAGCAAAAGGTACGGCTAGGGCCAACACTGAAAATACTGATACTGTTTCAGGGTTTCTATATGACCGGCTTCAGAAAGAGGTCCTAATTTTGAGGAAGTTTTGTGAGGCAAAAGACAGTAATCTGAATACTAAAGATGAGGATATCAAGGTGAACATTAACAATTCTTAGGATTTGTATGATTGGTATTTGCGCACGCATGCTCTCTTTACTGTTTTTGGTTTTTATTCAGTCTGAATCCAGCATCACAAATTTGTTCATTTACAGATGCTTAATAAAAAGATTGAGACTTTGGCAAAAGCCCTAGAAATGGAGTATAAGAGAACAAAGAGAGAAGCAACGAGGAAAGATAAGAGTTCAATTTCTACCAAGGTGGATGACAAGATTAGAAATATGAACTCATCTAGGAGGTATGTATTTCCCTATACCTGTAATTACCTTTCGTTAACTTTCCTTGCTCATTAGAGTTACACCGTTTTTACCATATTTTAATACATAAAGGTTCAACATCAATTTCCTTTCTGATGGTTCATTATATCCATTAGGGCCACAAAAGCATCTTGAAAAAGTTTCAATTCTGAAGAAATGGAGGTATGAGGAGTAGGTGCACCAGACAATTGTGATATGTATGGACATGTACATGAAGAGCATCTCAGTGGTTGCTAATTAGCTTTTGTTTCGTCCATGTTTACACCTTGTTTCCTTATTTTTATTTCCTACAGTGTTAGTAACTGAAACAATACTAGTAATCCGCTTGTATCATGCTTGTATTCCAGGCATCCCGTTTAAGACCTAATATGGCTTGTTTTATCATGATATGAAAGTGTTTTTACATATCAATGGACTACAATTTCAAGTATTTTTTATTTTCTCACATCCTGTGTCTAGAATTAGAGGTTGAACATTGAGAAGACACTAGTAATAGCAATCTGGACAACTGGCATACACTAAATACTCTTTAGGAACCAACAGGCTAGGAGTAAAATATTACTGGATACAGTTCATTAGCAACAATATGACTCCCAGATGAATTTCAATGGCAAGCTGAGTTATTTTTGTACCTTGCACCAAATAGTTCTCATATACTTTTGTTGGCAGGATGTTTACAACTAGACATAAAAAAATAATAGTAATCAGGCTCCTGCTCTTACAACATATTGTCAGTCATATGCTACCTCTGTGAAGATATAGGGCGAAATTAAATGTAGATAGGATTCAGGAGGTTTTTCCATATGTTAGAGAAACAGAACATGCAGATGATTTTGCATATTCTAAACATGTGGTATTTGGGAGTTTAGACCCGAGTGACATCAACTCTTTTTTGGAGGCTTCAGTGAACATGAAATTTAAACATAACTTAATAATTTCAGCTACTTATTTCATGCTGGAACATCAGTCAAAGAATTTGAGCACCTGATTTATCTAGGTAAATCCCTATTAGTGAAAAAATTAGCAGATGTTTACGAATTATTAAATGTAATATTTATCATAAGTCCAAAGTCAATCCCTCACCATTTTGATTTCCTCTAAAGCTGTTTCCATAAGACGTTACCAAGCATACTTAAAGAGTAGTTATGGGATTTGAAAATTCTAAAACTCCTTTAATCTTGCACCATAAGCTCAATCGAAATTGGAAAAATCATCTGATAGCAACTACATTTTGAGCATTACCATGACAAAATTAATCTAGAGAGAGATCTAGATTAACAAAAACAAAGAAAATCAAAATAAGTTATACCCTTTTCCCAGATCTTTTATCAAAATTAAAAGCTAGTATTGAAAATGTAAGCCAGACAAAGAACAATCTCTAAGCAGCAACTACCTCAGGAGTGCTTCTAGACTCCAACCACGATGTGGCTGCAACCTTTGTCGTCAAAAACCACCCAGCCTTGTCAGGTGCCTCGTGGAATGGAGCATTCAGTTCCTTCAGATGTAAATCAAAAACACCTGCTAGACCTTTCTCTGAATACTTATGTTTTCCATGACCAGTGTTGATCCCAAGCAGTGAAGGCAGCTCCTCCCCACTTTCAAGGGCCTTGGACAAGTCATTTATCCATATATGCAATGCCGTCAGAGCTGCCCCAAGTGAGAGACTCTTTAAATGTAAAGACCATTGGGTTGGAGTTCTAGACTGTATATCAGTATAAATCTCGAGTTTAAGGCCGAGGTCTAGCAGCTCACAAGCTTTCTCCAAGAGATCAATCTTGATACAAAGATCAATTAAACAGTTGCAATATGCTTTTCTAACATCAGAACCAACTTCATGAAAGAGTTCGCCAGCTTCCTTCCGCAAGATGTCACCTTCAATGTTCTCCTCGCCCACAAGGAGCTTCACCACATGACCAAGTTTGGCGTCAGCCTTCTGAATGCATCTGGTCAACTTATCAAGTTCTTGAGTTGGTGCTTGAGTCATTACGTTAAGAAGACAACCACAGAATCTCTCATCAGGCGTTATTCCTAAACCCAGCAGCCGATCAAAAGTCCTAACCACATCATCTATGCGGTTGGCCTTCCCATAACACTGGATCAGTGAAGTCAAGACATAGATATTAGGCTCAAAGCCCGCTTCCAACATCTCATTTAATGTGGATTCCGCCTCAAAGACTTTGCCGCTGCAGGAATAAATTGTGATCATGGAAGAATACGTCCAGCTATCAGGTTTGCAACTCTCAGAACCTTTCATAGCTTCAAAAATTTCAACAGCTTCATCAATAAATCCCACATCAGCAGACATCGACAACAGGGTGTTGTAAAGAACGACACTCAAGTCCAACAAGGAATTATAGACAACCAAATTAGGCCTAACTCCCAGAGCCTTCATTTCCTCGTAAACATTCAAGCACCCATCAAAATTCCCGGCCGTCCCATAAATCCTAATCAAAGTCGAAAAGGTAGCAGCATCAATTCGCCATTTTTCCGTCCTAGCACGGTCATACAAAGTTAAAGCCAGATTTACATTCCCAGCCTTCCCGTACGCATCAATCATCACAGAATAGGTAACCACATCCGGTTCACACCCAAAAGACGGCATTTTTTCGAACCACTGGACGGCTTTCTCAGGTAATGAAGACAGCCTGGCGCAGCTAATTATGGTGGAAAAGGTGACATTATCGGGCTTAACGCCTCTCTCAATCATATCCGTAAACAATTTCTCGGCTCTGTCCAAGTCTCTACATTTTCTAAACACCTTGAAGGTAACATTATACAAAATCACTTCTTTCTTCAACTTAAGCCTTTCCAGAAAGTATCTGAGCACCAAAGGCGCAGTTTCAGAGTTGGACATGTTATTGAGCACAACTGCAGCATCTTGTTCTAAAACTTTGCCACCCAAATTAGCCAAAATACAAATAACGTCAGCTTCTACAGAGTCACACGAGTCCAACTGTTGGGAAGCTTGGACTAAAGAAGCATACCTGAAATCGTAGGAATTGCGCCTGAGCTTTGATGCCCTGGAGCTGTTGGGGTTGACCCAGATATAGCTTTTTGAGGAAGAAGAGATGGTTTTAGCATCTGGGCGGTGAGGAATTTGGGAAATTGAGGGGGATTGTTGTTGGGAAGCCGGTATAGAGAGGGAAGGTTTTGGATGGGGCTTGAGAGGATGAAAAGCGAGGGCGTTATGGGCGATGATTCTGAGCTGGTGGAGGTGAGTGGGATAAAGAGAGTTACAGAAGAGGTGTGGGTCGCGAGAGACATGAGACGGCGAATAGGAGGCGGCCACCATTCTTCTCTCTACTCTCCTTCCTTCCTTCTCAGTCGTCACTCACTCAGCAGAGCAGTCAGCAGCATTTGAGTTTTCTTCTTTTTTTTTTTTTTTCTACATTGGGCTGCCGGTGGGGTGGGGTGCCAGGAGTGTGGAGATGGTGGTGTTTTCAGCTAGCTAATGTTTTAGGTGAGGCCTTATCATCCATTGGGTTCTATAGCCCAATGGGCACCAGGAAAGTCATTTCTTCGGTCATTTGTCGGACGTTCGTTCGAGTTTCGACCCTTAGATTTCTGCTACCTCATACGAAGTACTCTAGCAAGAATTTTTTTCTCATAGCCGGTAACAGAGCAGTACAATTTAAAAACGGAGAGTAATTGCTACTACTATATACTACTACTGTACTCTGTACTTGAGAAGGGCAATCACTATTCACTACTCAAGAAGAGAAGAGAGGAGAAGAATAAGAGAAGCAGAAAATGCCCTCATCCATCCCTCAAATGAAATGATGCACCGGTTAAAAGAGGGCAATATGTGTGTGTAGTATCCCTCTGAAGCTTAATTAATTTCATGGGGAAATCTTTGTCATGATTCGAGCTTTGGGTATTTCGTAAAGCCTCTGCGGGCTGCTCCGTCACTTTCATGCCGGCCGCCACATCCAACCAAAACCTAGAGCCACAAAGACGCTTTTTTTTTTTTTTTTGGAGAATTAGAGAGTAAAAGCCTCCTTTTTACTACCACTACTACTACTTCAGAGTTCAGACCACGATGAAAGGATCCCCTGAGAGAAAGGAGGATTTGGAATTGGAAGGACAGCGAATTACTGAGCCCACCACGTCGCAATTACTTCTCCTCAATTATTTTGTAACAATCCAACCGGACGACGCCGGCTCTGAGTGACAATTTATTACAGATGTCAGAAGACAAAGACAATCAAACCAACCCGAAATTAATTAATCAATCTAACTAAAATAGGTTACTGTGAGTGAGTCTGTCTCTTGTCTTGTCTTGTCTTGTCGTGCTACTATATACTCCATTTACTGCCGTGCCATGGTGTCCCGGAAGGTTGTTGGTTGATGAATTCATGAATTGATGATCAAACTAACGTTGGTTGTTATTATCAAAAAAAAAAAAAAACGTTGGTTGTTCTTTTGTTGACCAAACTTTTGACATTTATTATTGCATGCGAGCATTTGAGATGGCATGCAAATTCATTTGCGTTATTTTTACTTTTACCCAACTGTTAAGTACTACTAGCTCCTTTCTGCTTTCCTTCCTGTGACGCTAGCACATTACTACTTACTTTTATATATATATATATATATATAATTTTATTTCTGGCAAAGAATGGAGAGATTTAAGAAATGAAGAAAAAGGAAAGAAAATGTGTATCTAGAACCTCTACACCAGCACATTAATTTACTAACACTACTACTACTACTACTACTAGAGAGCAAAGCGAGAAAATGAAATCTAAAAATAATAATAATAATAATAAAGAAGAAGAAGAGAGTACATGCACTTTTAACGACATCATTTCTATTATTATTATAAACAATGAAAAAATTTTGATGCAATGACATTATTTTTTTTTCCTTTTTCGAAACGATAGAAATTTTTATTGATATGTCAAAACCATACAATATCTGAGCAGCGCTCTCAAACATCTTTACAATAGTGTACCTTGACACTTAAGAAAACTTATTCATTAGGGTACATACAAAAGCTTATTCTAAGTGACTTCCAACTTGAACAAGTCCCCACATGTACGTCTCTCTCTCTATATATATATACTCCATAATAGCATGCACATTAACTTTATTTTCTTCTTCCTTTCATATTATAGGTCCTATGAAGGCCCTAACTACACAATACTGCTAGTATTATTTTGCTTCAATGCATTTGCATGTACCGCCCACCAAACAAAATTAAATGATTAATTTGGATGCTTTTCATATCATATCATTCCCCATATCAAATTCTCCTCTCCTCTCCTCTCACATAATCGTACAGTCGCCAGTGATCTGCTCACTGAACTAATCACAATGACTATACCGGTATCCGCACCCGCACGCGTGCGGGGGCACAGGCCGCCAGTTCCTGCAGCAGCATCGTCCCCCTCCGTACCCTTCCGAACATAGGACACAGCAGACCGCCACTGCAAGTGGTGGCTTGGGCTTTTCGGGCTCTTTAGGCTTTGGTGGCTCCACGATCTCAATACTCTTAATGACTTTACCACCCTTGCAACATAATTGGTCGCGGATTTTCTCGGGGCTACAGCACACCACGGTGATGGTCACCAGATTTTGCTTCTCATCATATACCTGGTCTTGGATTTCTCTTGTCCAAAAAAATTGAGCATCACCCAAAAAAAAAAAAAAACTCAAATTCTTGTCCATACAAATTAAAGCCACTAACTGATCACTAGTAGTTTCGTAAGCCACACTACCCAGCTTTTGTTGTTTAATCATGGAGAAGGGGAAAAAAAAAACTGTAGCCCATGGTGGCACACATGCCTAGCCATGTATGTAGTCGGTGGAACGGTGGATGTCCTCCATCCAACTGTGCTTGCTCTAAAGAAGAACTACTACTAGTAATACTGGTATTGAAAACATAAGAGATAGAATTGATAATTATAAGAGACTCACGAGGAAATTTGCAGAGGAATTTCTTGACCTTGTAGGAGCAGGAGCATTGAAGATCAACCTCGAGTCTCATTGTAGTCACCTGTATGGTTGCATATATATTATCGGAGCAAAATAGTCAAACTCGATCCATATGTATATATAATGACGAAGCCAAGGGGCTGATGGGCCATGGCTCCTTAAGTTTTAAAAATTTTAATTCATAATATGTAGATATATGTGTAAAATTAAAGTTGATCTTTTTAATTTTTTTATAATTTTAGTTTATATTGTGAGAGTTTATATATGTGTGTGTGGAAATCATTTTGAACATAATATATTGAGATAATTTTGTTATGAAAAATTTTGATCTCTTAGAAAAAAAATCCTAGCTCCGTCACTCTATATATATATATATATATATATATATATATATAACAATTAGGAAATGCAAAATTAAGATGCACAATTATATGGTACTACTAGTTTTACGCTGAGAGATGTGGGTACAGATCTTGATATAAAGAGAAGCAAGCATATCTCACGTTGTATGTGCTGTCATAGACTTGCAATTAAAATTTTCAGATTGAGCAAACACTAAAAGAGGAAAAAAAAAAGATGCAAAACAAGAGAATTGGCTTACCTTCTCAGCCATAGTTGATGAAGGAAAGAGTCAAGTCAGTGGCGATGGGTGGATCTGATCAACAGCCCAAATGATAAATGTTGGAAATGGAAGTTTTTTTCCTTTTTTTTCTTGTTCCTGGGGGGAGGAGGGGGTGATTGGGGAAGGGATGTAGGCAGCAATATACTAAACTGATGCTAAGAAATGGTTGAATTAGATAGTAGGAGCCATTTAGGTAGAAAAGGTGCGAGGACTTTATATAGAAAGATAGCAACCGGGCAGCATGCAGTACTAGCATGGAAGTAGGGTGGAAATGAAATGGAAGGGGCATTGAATTTTGATGCCATCATCAAGACTACTTTCTCCTCTTAAAAAAAAAAAAAAAAAAAGATGGTCTGTAGTGAAAAAAAAAGGAATTATAAGTCTCTTTTTTCACCGTAAGTCGGAGGTTCGAACTCCACTTGGGCCGTAGGTTGGAGGTTTGAACCCCACTTGCAGTGAAAAAAATTCAAATGAGGTGTCAGAGTATCCTTTTGGTCTAGTCAGATTCTTATACTTTCTAACCCCTTATACACAGTCTCTTTATACTCCCCTCCATATAGATTATGATAGATAATGTTATAAAAATGTTATCATTGCCGTAAAAAAAAATTTTGTCTACTTTCTAGTAGTACTAATAGGGGTGGGCTATGCTATGCACAGCCAGTGCGGCGAATTTCTCGGAATAATGTTAAAACTAAAAATTATCATAAAAGTGGTGTTAGTTGAAGGGTGTTTTTACCTAAAGGGTCGCCGCAAATAAGAAGTTGGGTTTCATAAAAAAATTGTTTTAAATTTTTTTTTTTTTTTGCCAACGAATTTAATGGAGCGGTTTTTTTTTTTTTTGCAAAAGCATTAGCGGCGAAGAATATTATATTAAAAAAGTATCACCGCAAAGCTCATGTGTGGCGATTCCTTTATTTATTTATTTATTTTCATAAAATCCTAACCCTAACTCTAGAATCCTAATCCCTAAACCCTAGCACTAAAACCCGAATATGTAAACCCAAACCATGGAAGCCTAAAATTTAATTTACCTACATTATTCTCGGAATAATGTTAAAATCAATTATCCAATTTATCCAATTTGCAATAAAATTTGGATAATTTGGGTAAAATTTGGGCAAATTTGGGCAAATTTTTTGGAATAATGTTAAAATAAAAAATTATCACAAAAGTAGTGTTTTGTAGGGAGTTTGTCTATCATAAGGGTCGGCGCAAATCACAATATCGACTTAAAGATTGTCTGATTTATTTTTTCATTTTCTTCCGCAGCTTAAGAATTTTTTAAGTTAAGATTTTCGGTTGCATTTTTTTTATTTTAGCCAAAAATGGACCATTGATTAACATATGATCAAGGGTCATGATTTGAAGGAGCAAGAAAAAAATGTTTTTTAAATCTTTTGTCGCAATACTAATTTGCGGCCAATGAATTAAAATATGTTTTTCCCATAACCGCACATCTGATTTGTGACGGTTTGGAAAAGTTTTTTCTTTAACCGCACATCAGATGTGCGGCGCTACAGAGAAGCGTTTTGACTAGTACACCTCCAACTGTACTATAGCAATTGATGGCAATTGATGCAGCAGGGACTTGAAAGGGATACCTTTATGGTGGGAACCTGCCTATGGTAGGAAGTCGGAGACAGTTAAATTGTTGTACAGCGCATGGAGAGGATATATACGAGAACCGTCTGCGGATGCAACCAAAAAACACACTAACTTCCGTACGAGTTGGGGCAGGAAGTGTTTTTGCATGTTAAAACCAGAGGCATTTATGTATTTGTAAATGTACCCATTACGACTGGAAAAATGTTGCAAATGCCTTGGACAAAAAATGTGCGTAAAGAAGGTACCGAAATTTTAAGAAATAATAAATGATTATCGCACATGCGTGGGGGATAATAATTTGGAAAAAGGAAAAGTGGAGGTAAACGAAAGGATTCAAGCCTTCATTATATTTATATACATATATAAATTTAGTGACCAAGTGTTCAGCTTAAGCATCCGGGAAAATGGTCCCATGACTATCGTCATGGTAAAAAAAACTTATTATAATAGGTTATAATAAATTTAGCAACCATTTGATTACCTGTTGGACTTATTCACTTGAATAGGATTATGCGTAAAAATAAGGAAGTAAGTTTGTCATCTAAAATAGTAAGTTAACGTAATAAACTAGTAATTTTTGCAGCCCAAAACGTGAATTGAAAGTATTACGAAACATACTTTTTAAAGAGATAAATTACAATTTTTATCCTCAATATACTTTTGAGGGAATAAGTTTATTTGAAGTAATAGTATGTTTTTCTACATAAATAATCATTTTTACTTATAACATAGTAAATTTGATTAATGACAAAAACATGCTAATTTATGGCAAAAATTCTCTATTATGCTTAAAAAACTTATGCCAAGCCCATATTTTATTGTTATTTAAAATAACACTAAAATGTTTTATTAATGATTAAAATTGAGTACCTTACTTAGTAAGTAATGTTAATATACTTGTATAAATACTTGATTGTATGTGAAAAAATTAGTATTTTTTAAATTTATACATAATTAAATTTTTTCTGTTGCAGTTTAAAAAAAAAAGTGAGCGAAATTTTTTTTGCACGGAGCACCAAATTCCACAAGTCAAAATAATTGGTCTGAAATGGAAAGATACAGCTGAATAGCATGGTTTAAAGTACCAAATAAATAGATGTAAAATGCTGGTTAAAAACTGGTACTTTGACATATAATAAAGGAAAGTCATAAAAATCAGGCCATTTATGGAAAAAGGCTTCATTAATAAAAATTCCAGCTCTTCACGGCTTTCTTACCAGTCCTCCAAAACATGAGCAAAGTGCCAATAATTGAAATAGTAATCTTTTCGATTTATACAGAATTAATTTATTTTTTGCAAATTAAAAAAAATAATTGAAATTTTTTATCAGAAAGCACATAAGTCAAAAGGATTGGTCTAAAAGAGAAAGGAATAGCAGATATGTACAGTACTTGTATTTCACGTTCGAAGGACTACAGTGCTGTTTTTGACAATACCCCGAAAAATATGCAATGCAAACGGAACCGATTCTTCATTATTTAAAATACCAGATCTGTGATTGTGTTTTAACTGTTATCCATTGGTATTCTAAGGTATCATTTTTTCATCCAATACCACCTCTTTAACACCTGTTTTCCCTTAAAAAATTTATTTATTGGATGAAAAAAAATAAACCTTTTATGCAATAAAACACTAGCTCTTTATGCCTTTCCTCCATTATAAGAACAGAGTACTCATTTTTCCCTAAAAAAATTAATGGATAAAATAAAATAAAATAAAAACCGATTTAAGGTTAAAACACTAGCTCTTTATGACTTTTCTCCCTTATAAGAGCACAGTACCCATTTTCCTCATCAAAAATTTAAAATTTTATTTATCGGATAAAATAAAAATAAACCTGTTTTTTCATAAAACACCAGCTCTTTATGATATTTCTCCATTATAAGAATAAAGTACCCATTTTCTCACAAAAATTTATTTATCGCCTAAACTTAAAATAAACCCATTTTTTAATAAAATACTAACTCTAGCACTTTCCTCCATTATCAGAACACAGTATCGATTTTTGCATAAACAAAATTTATTTATCGACTAAACTAAAATGAAATCCGTTTTCCAATAAAACACTAACTCTTTATGAATTTTCTCCATTATAAGAACAAAGTACCCATTTTGTCATTAAAAAATTTATTTATCGGCTAAATTAAAAATAAACTCATTTTTCAATAAAATACTACCTCTTTATCACGTTCCTCCGTTATAAGAATACAGTACCCATTTTTGCATATAAAAATTTTATTTATCGGATAAAATAAAATTAAATCTGTTTTCCAATAAAACACTAGCTTTATGGTTTTCCTCCATTATGAGAATAGAGTACCCATTTTTCATAAATAAATTTATTTATTGGATAAAATAAAAATAAATCCATTTTTCATTAAAGCATCAGCTACTTATGGCTTTCCTCCATAAATTATCTATTTTCATACGTTAATTTATTAGTTAGATAAAATCAGAATGCAATTAGGTTGAACAATAAATTACCCTTTACGATGAAATTGAAATACAGAAAAGTAACCCATAGCAAGTTTTAACTCCATTTCCAATACAAAAATATGCTACAAATTCTTTTGGCAACCGCAAGACACCTCATTCATAACGTCTCAAGAAACCTTTCCAACCATTATGCAAAAGCAACTTATTCATTCTAAATTTTTAGCATCAATTTGATTATCAGTTGGACGTATCCACCTGAATAGGATAATATGTATTTTCTGGGACACAAGACATAATAGGAATTAAACTTGCATTAATGTAGACCTAACAAAATGAGAGAAATAGCATAACAATTAATACAATAATAAGAATAACAGAGTTGGTATAACAAAATTAGTTTAGTCTACAAATTTATTTTTTTCTGCAGATAGTTCGTGAATATGACATTCAACCACAAAAAAAAAAGACATCTATATCTGTCTATAAGTATTGCAGAGAGAATTTTAGATAAGGAGCTTTCCAAATTGTCAAAAGTTCGAATACTATTTTATTACAATTTTACATTTCTAAAATTAAGAAATGTTTATCTCACAACTAATCCTTTAATTGCTCGTACAAATCCTGTAATCATGCTCATGTTTTTCCCACATTTCCCTCACATTTTCCCTACTAACCAATAAAATTAAAACTCCCGAATTTTAACTAACAGATAATAACCAACCATGTCAAATTAATATCTGCAATTTCCAATTAACATCTCACATTTACTGCTGACTTTACTGATAGTATTAACTAACAGTTATTACTGACATTCACAACTTACACTTACCACATTACTCATAGTAATAACTAACTGTTAATTTAAGATATTCGCAACAGCGAAAGTCACATATCCAAAATTTAGGAGCATGTTGAAATAATAATTTTCACAATTCAATGTATTTTATTGCCATAATATAGTTTACTCTCAGAATCATTCACAAAACTGCTGCACACTAATCCAATTGACCCATTTAATTTGCCATCATATAAATTCAATACAGTGAAAAAATTACGTATCATACATTTTTTCACTAAGG